CGTTTAGGATATGTAAACTATTCACATTGGTAATACAAGGTACTCCCTCTGTTCACTTTTGTAAGACCGTTTAGACATTTAAGACGGGACATGGCAGTGGCATAGTGACCTCGGTGGGCGTCGGGGCTTGAGGTAGCCGACGACCGAACTCGGCCACTGAGACATAGCGCTACCGTTATTTGGTTTTCTGTCGCTACTGTTATTTGGTTTTTTGTCGCCTGCTAGTAGAAAGACCCAAATATACTACTCCTAAATCATTTTTTCTGTTCAAGCTGCATTTTTTGGTATGCTGTTAGAGATGCTCTTATGGTCCAAATTTGCTTGTGCATTACTGGTTGGAATGGCTTCGCGCAGATTTAACAAAAATGAAAAATTAGATATACTCTACAAACTATTCACATTGGTAATATGAAGGTAATATATTTTTTCAGACTAATTTCGGGTAGTTCCGTAATTGATTCGTTAGGCATAAGGGTGCCAAGCAAATAAAAGAAAACTGAATTACAGAAAAGAATATTATTTGATAATTTTAAATGTGTAAACTCCTGCATCCCATATTTTTTTAGATAATAAAAGGAAAGTCAATTGCAAAAAATGATTTCATAATTTAAAATCATGAAAAATCCTAGCTCTTATCATAGCAAAATAAAGAAAATGTTCAGAACCATGCATACTAATATATCAGAGTACAATAGATGCCACAACAGCTTTATTAGTATATTTATTATAGTTATTATTAAGAGTACAATTAATTTCTCATCAACATATTCTCTCCTAGATAAAAGCAATCATTATATTACTCGAGAAACATCACTTGTGATGCTACCAAGGGAGTGTTCAGTTTAACCAGCATGCCCAATTCATTGTTTTCATCGACCAGAGTCCCCACCGCAGGCATATCAATAAGCTCGTAGCCGCACTCATCAACACAATCATATGCCATATCCACACAACTAACTAGCTCTTTGGACTGTAGCCCGCCCTCATTGCATTGGTAATCCCTGATCATGGCATTGCATATGTTGAGGACGCCCAACACGGTGTCGTAATCCCCCTCACACAAACTAAGCACGTGCATGCCTTTTCCGGTGTTCTCCAACATTTTTTTTGCGAATACCAACATTTTTTCTTGACCTTGCTGCTAGTAGAAATGACACTGACTCCTAAGGATGTCGACGACGACTAGCAGCAGGTCACGATGGTCCTTAGATCCCCTGACTGGGGGGTCGTCAAACATAATTCCTCTATGATAGGATCCACATGGGGGTTGTTGAACGAGGCGTTCTTGCAACGATGAACTCCATCCATTCTAAATATATGTCCTTTTAGATATTTCAATATAGACTACATACGGATGTATATAGATGTGTTTAAAAGTGTAGGTTCACTAATTTTGCTCTGTATGTAGTCTATATTAAAATCTCTAAAAAGACTTGTACTCCCTCTATAAACTAATATAAGAGCGTTTAGATCGTGTTTAGATTACTAAAGTAGTGATCTAAACGCTTTTATATTAGTTTACAGAGGGAATATTTAGGAGCGGAGGGAGTAATAGCTAATATCATATAGTTGACGTCACTCTCTGGATAAAATGGGCTTTATAAAGCTAAGCTCATAGATCACGCAATATCACTATATAATTTTTGAGATTTGTTTTAGGGGATTTTGTTTGCGAACTGCAATATATTTTTTGAGATAATAACATATCGCTACCTTGGGCTCAAAGAGAGCTCGGGCCATTTCTGGGCCTGTTGCAGTCGCACGGTAGAAACTAAAAAATAAAAAAGCCCAGCCCACCTAAATCCTCTTCTTCACTTCCCGTCTCTGTCCCACACCCGCCGCCGCCGCCGCCGTCTCCCTCCCTCCCTCTCTCTCTCCCCCCCGACGCCGCCGGCTCCAAGCCACATCCCACCCCGCCCCGCCGTCACCCGGTCTCTCGTCTCCTGCGGCGGTCCGCCTCCATTCGCCGCTCGTTCGCTTCGCAGACGCGTTCTTCCGTCCGCCTAGCGGGCTCGCTGGGGAGAGCGGCAGCAGCCATGGCCATCGGGTCTCTCGTCGCAGCCGCGTCCAGGTCCAGCCGCCACGCCCTCGCCTCCGCCGCCATCTCCCAGGTCAGCTTCCTTCCCGCCCGCGCGTTCCTCTCGGGGCAATTTCTCCACAGGGGGTCTACAGCATCCATCTCTGAACTGATCTGATGTATCTGCGCCTGCGTTTCGCGGTCTCACCGCGCGTGGATGTGGCCTTGATTCGTTGGTCAGGCGGCTTACAGGGCGCGCCAGCACGCCGGAGTGCCTCCTCTGCTCTCGCGGCTTGCACCACTCGCCCGCGCCTTCAGGTACATCTCCTGCTGCTATCTCAAGTCTCTCATGCCAGCCTGCCTCTTGCTTGTGGAAAGAGCTGAAAGAATTTTCTTTTCGTGCTATATGTGTGCAGCTCAAGCCCTGCAGCAGCCGATGTCGATTCAGATCTCCCTGTCATGGAAGTGCAGGTGTGTTACTCCCCTCCCTGAATCTGTCATGTTGTGCTAATTGTGTGTGAGTGTAGGATCCGTCTGTGTATGAGTAGCAGCTAACAGAATATGCGTGCTTTGCTGAGCCGGCAAGTGAGGCCCTGACTGATGTGTATTTTTTTTTTTTTGACCCGGGCCACAACCCCTTTCCATTAAATGCATAACGGAAATACAAAGTTCAACATTCAGCGAACACCAGCCCAGCATAAGCGATTACAGCATAAGGAAACGAGAAAGGGGTAAGGCGAGATCAAAGCATCACTGGGAAACCCACTATGAGCACTCGTCAACGAGCAGCCCATCGCGGGACGAAATGACTGATGTGTATAGTTAGCTGATATCCATATGGATATAGTTTAGCACAGAGAAAAAATAACACCTCCTTTTCTTGGTCTGGATAAATGCAAGTACAATAGATAATCAAAGCTAGCATATTAGAATAGCACCAGAAAACCAGAATGATATTACCAAGGGGAGATTGTGGGTCTATTCTACCCTGGCAATACATTGCATTTGTTAAATTGAACCACACACCATAATGTCTTAAATTGTGTACTTTGTGGACGTCATATGAGCTTTACAGGCTAACAGCACTGCACTACTTTCTGTGTATATAACTATATATAATGAACTATCCACGAATACATGCATTCTGATATTGCTAGACATTATCCGCCTTGTACTTCACCAAAAACAGAGCACAGCAAACAAGGATTGGGTATTCATGCGTGTAGTGGACTATCTTTCAAGACAGCATACCACCATTACAACTGGATTTTCATATGCCTAACAACAGAGAAATTTGAACTCATTCTTTATTGCTAGGCCAGCATGCAATGCTCATATCGCAGCATCTTGCATCCGATAGTAAACGGAGGAAACGGTGTCAATAGAGAATAGCATGCTATATCGTGTAGCTGAAAGTTTGAAATCTTACATAAGTGTTGGATGGCTGGCCTGGATAAAGAAGAGTTTAAAAGTGATGGTAGAGAAAAGAGAGTAGAAATAGTTCAGTTGATTCAATTATCACAGTAGTCAATCAGAGGTAACTTTTCCATTAATTAAGTTAATACAAAATGATCTAGCGTCCAAGTGCTGAACTAATTCAGGTCAAACATAATTAAAACCACATCTGCTATGTGACCAAATATGTAGAATAGCAGCAGAGGTTTTAACATTTTCTTGGCCGAAAGTTTTTCATAACATTGTAAATAGAAAATAAAAATAAAACGGAAGTAACTAAATGCTACCAGATAGAAACATGCTTCTACTGGTTGTCCATATTGTATCCATTGAATCTCATATCGACAGTCTGCTACTAGTTTAGAAAACAGCAGACATTCTGTGAAAAATATCATGTAGAGATGATGATACTTGAAGAATTGAGAAGAGATCAGAAAAAAAAAGTGCTTACACTTGTCACGCTAAGCCATGACATATCAATATATATCTTCTGTAACCGTCATACAGATTCAACTTAGCTTTTTGTATATGTTTTTAAATGGGGAAGAATTAGAGAAAAATGTAAGAGGGTTATGCAGTGACAAAGTGTGGTTAATCATGTGATGTTCAATTCATCTAATGTTGTGATTTCGTTGATGATGCCTTCAATTGGTAGTGGATTAGTACTGATTTATGGTGGAAATTGCTAATAAATAATCTGTTTGTACAGAAACGGCGGGTGGGCAAAAAGGCCAAGGGCGCGAAAAGCGGAAAAGCCATGATGTTCCCACTCCATTTCCACTATGAAGATGTGTTGCGTGAGGATCTGTTGCTCAAACTGAACCACACCAACACCATGGAGGTCCCTGGGTTGTTTGAGATCCGACTGGTGCCCAAGTCTACCACCGGTGCCAAAATCCAGTTTGGGAAACTGGCCATGGAGATTCTGTGCGGCCAGAGGTGCATACAGGCAGAACTGCCTGCCCATCTGAAAGGGAAGGCGACCAACGCATACCTGGGGTCCCAGAAAGACGCCGTGTCCCTGAGGCAGAGCATCATCCGAGGGCACGGGATGTACAACTTCCTGGTCAGGGTCCTGACGGTGATGTCTATGCTGGACTCCAAGGTGGCGATCGAGCAGGGGAACTGCGTAAAGTTCTTCATGGCCACGGAGTTCTGCGAGTTCTCCCCCGAGATAGAGGACCACTTTGAGATCTTTGAGACCATCGGAGGGTTCAACGTGACCATCGTCACCACGGCCTGCTCGAAGGAGGAGACCTCGCTGCTGTGGAGCGGCTTCTTGCTCAAGGATGAAGGTGAGATCAGCTAAGTAAGATGCTGGATGAGATCATGAGCATTGTGACTAAAGACAAACTCTGGTGGAAGCTTCTATCGTTTTGTGATCCGATCTTTGCTAGCTAGAGTCAATGGCCAGCTTTTCTTTCTAGAGCAATCTTGTTCCGGAATGAAACTGAGTTCCCCTGTTATGTCTATCTTCAGAAGAGGCTCGTTTTTCTTCTGATATGCAGAGATTCATTGGTTTCTACGGTTTCAAAAAAAATTCTAGATGGTGATCCTCCTAGTTTTGTATCCTGATAGGCTTTGGTCATCCTCTTCATGTGAAGAGAACTAAATAATAATGCATTTGATTAAATCTGCGACAAATATGATATGGCTAGTTTGCTATACCTGCAGCAACCCTAGATGGATATGCATCTAGCCTTTTCCCTCATTATTTCGGTCGTGCGTTGTCATGTGGCATGTTGGTCTCCATTTTGTTTTTTTATTTGTTGTGGATAAATTTTAGCTATATATCTGTAGCGCAAACTGAGTCGACAGCTGGCCGCTGGGTTTCTATGCTGCTGCTGCAAGTTTGTAGCCATGCTCAAACTGATGTCTTTTTTGTCTAGTTTGTGAAGAGGGGGGGCGTTGTTCACCGTAAATGATTTGTTTACTAGGTTCATTTTTGTGAATGTAACTATCTACTCCGTCCGTTCCATGACATGTCAGTTTTGTTCTGACTTCTGAGCCAAACCTTGTGAACTCTGACCAAAGTTTAGCGAGAAAATACCATACCAAATTAACGTCAGCTGATAAATCTTCAACCGTGTTTCCCTAGTGTATGTACTCCCTACACAAGTCTCTAAAACGTCCTATATTAGTTTACCGAGGGAGTATTTATTTAGGTATTTTAGATGTTCATATCTTTTCAATACATCAAATCAACTGTAGCATCTAGACTGGGGATTTCCTGCAGCCTGAGCAAGAGCAGAGCCTTGACATTATGTCCAGAAAATTATCATGTTCATTTCTGTGCAAGTAATTATCATGTTCATTTCTGTGTAAGTGATGTTTGCCGTAAATGATGGCGTTGTCTATCTGTTTCATTTCTGTGAACCCGATCATCTAGTTCCTCATGTCTGAAATCAAGACGTGTTAGCTTTGTTCTAAGTCGGCTTGTGTAAAGTTTGACCAAGTTTATAGAAGAAGAAAAACATATCTCTGGTCTAACTCATGAAGTAAATCACGAAATACGTATTACACCTTATAAACCAACCGTGCGATAGCTGGCCTCTACAGAGTTTTCAATACACAGGGCCAACATTCAGAGCCTTTTGCAATCTCATGCTTTTAAACAGTTGGACGACAATTCATATTGTAAAAGTGCACCAGAGAATATTGTAAATTTCAGATGGCCAGCCTGCCTTGTTGCAAATGCCACAAGAGGGGATGTAAAGAAGCATGCATACAGGGTCCATGAAGAGCCTGCATCTCCTGTACATTTCCATCTCTTCGGTTGATAAAAGTCACCGGGTAAACTTACAACACACACAAAAGAGAATACTCCAGTAAATAAGACCAAGGCTCCAGCCCAAGAGGCAAGCTTAATTCTTAATCAGTTAAAACAATCGCATACAGAGTTCAACAACAACAAAATTCTCATAGTATCACATAGAAAATACTCGCTCCGTCCCATAATGTAAGACGTTTTTTGACACTTGTGGGACAGAGGGAATAGCATTTATGACCCCTCCAACTGGGGCTGGCCCCTTTGCTCGAGCGTTCTAGGCTTCACCACAGCGTTCCAGTTGAGCGGGCAGCAGCGCGCCAGCTCTCACTAGTAGTGTACTTCATGAATTTAAGTTCCTAAAAAGGGTAGGAGACACACGGATGAGAAATAGGCGTCTCAGTGATATGGATAAAATGCACAACAGAGACAGCAATGGAGTGATTGTCGGGACCATGAGCCACTAAAACTTGGTAAAAGAATTTATCAATACCTTTTGCTTAGCTGTTGTATTGGCAACTAATTCTGGATTTGTCAGCGGAACTCTGTCACAGTTGCGTTAGAACATTCATTAGCCAGAGCAATATCCTCTCGCTTGGCATGTTCTACCAGAGTTGCTCCGGGACGGTTGGGATGGGCATCTGCTTCATTCCAGGCTTTGTTCGAGCGTTCCAGTCGAGCGAGCAGCAGCTCGCCAGATCTCACCTGTAGTTCTTCATGAATTTAATAAGTTCCCTAAAAAGGGTAAGACACGCGGCTGAGAAATAGGTTTCTCAACGATTTGAAGTTTGATTTGTTGCCTTTCGAGATCCACCCTGCAATATGGGGTCAAAAAGTCAAAAAAATGGATAAAATGCATAACAGTCAAAGCAAAGGAGTGATTGTTGTAACCATGAACCACTAAAACTTGGTAAAAAAAATGATCAATACCTTCTGGTTAGTTGTATTGGCATCTAGTCCTTGATCTGTCACGGTTCTGTTAGGACAGCCGTCAGAGCAATAATCCTCCCTCTTTACATGTTCTACCAGAGTTACTCTGGGACGGTTGGGATTGTCATCTGCTTCATTCCTGATAGTAACTTCTGCGGAAGCGATATCAGAAGATGCCGCGCCCTGTTTGTAGAGGTGAATTTGTGCATTTTTCAGTCTTGGGAGGTGCTCGATACCCAAGAAAAACCCATAGGCATTAACCATTGATACACAGTAGATTAGGCTAAGATCCTCGAGCATTGGCAGTGCCCCTTCCATAAACAGAAGGTTTCCCGATGGCAATACAGCAGCATCGTAAACAAATTCCTTCAAATGCTGGAATCCTCTGCCGTAAAAAATAAGCCTTTCTTTTCTGAAAGTCTGGCATGTTAGCCTCAGGTGAAGCAAGGCAGGCATCTCTCCAAGTATGCACAGATCCGTCTGCGTTACTTCCACTATATTAATTTCTAGGTATGCAAGACTGGTCAGTGCTGGTGAAATCCAGCATGGAATCCACTTGAAACTGTAGCAGCCGCTCATCTCAAATCTTTGGAGGGAAAATGGCAGAGGGAACCATGATTCTAAGAACTTGACATCACCAGGGCACTTCCTCCATATCCTAAAAGACTGTAGCTTGCAGCTACCAAGCTTGATTAATGAGGAGAGGAACCTGTCTTCATGCCACTTGTACTCGGATCCTATTCCCCAATACTGTACATCGAGCTCATTCAAATTGGTCAAGTTACCGAGTTCCTCTAGTGCACCAACAGAACCCAAGCTGATACCACAGCCCAACAATACCCGTAAGTTCCTCATATTCCCGATTCCATCTGGTATCTTTATTCCAGGCATTACATAATCTGTTGAAGCGATAAGATGTTGTAGCTTCGTAAGGTGGACAATTTCAGCAGGCAACTCTTCTACATGTGTCTCCCTAATATCTAGGGTCTCTAGATTATGTAACATCACAACTTCTGATGGTAGATGTGATATCCAAGTGCCCCTAAGGCTCAGGTACTTTAGTTGGAAAAACTTGCCAAGACCCTTCATGTGATACTTTTCCAATCCATCACACCCTTCAAAATCTAGTACACGCAAATTTTCAAAGCAAGCAAGACTAGGCAAGTGTTCGATGCAACTTGATGATGTTACTGTTAAAGAGCGAACATGGCTTAGATCTTCATTTGCCAATACAGATGCAAGATTCTGGTCAATGTGCTGGACTGATAGCCGTCGAATACAACCATGGCGATTTACCAAACCAGTCTGCCTGCTACGAATCACCATGACAAAATTATCCTCAGCTGACTTTGAAATGATGAGTTCAAGCATCATGTTATGGACTCGACATGCACGAGCCTTACCATCATAGCGGATGTCCACTGCTTGAATCATACTTCTATTGATAAGCTCATAGAAATACCACTCTGCGACCTCTTGCTGACTCTGCCCATGATTTTCAGAGATAAAGCCTTCTGCTATCCACCGCCTCACTAATCTCTCTCTCTCAATCACACAGCCCTCAGGAAAATTACTTAAATACAACAAACAAGTCTTGAGATTATCTGGAAGAGCATTGTAGCTAAGGCATAGTATTCTGTTCATTTCCTCTAGACCTATGTCTTTGTCCAATGCACAAACTTTTTCCCACTCCTCTTTGTTAGCTGGCCTATTTGCCAATAAACTAGATACACTGATAATTGCCAACGGCAGGCCTCCACATTTTTTCAAAATTTCATTTGAAACTTCTTTCAGCATATCGGGACTATCCTTGGACCCAAAAATTCTTCTCAAGAACAATCTTTTAGAATGAAAATCACTTAAGGGTTGCATTTCATACATGCGGTCATCTTGACCCATACAACATGACCTTGCAACTTCAATAATGCGTGTAGTAGTTATAACTCTGCTAGAACAGTTATTCTCTGGAAAAGCACACTTGATAATGTTCCATGCCGATATGGACCATATATCATCAATGACAACAAGATACCTAGTATTAGAAAACAGATTCAATTATTATGCTAAGTAATTCAGATAGAAAAGGTAAAAAATCCATAAAACTCCAATGGGTACTCCAATACTCCCTCCGTTCCAAAATAGATGACTCAACTTTGTACTAACTTTAGTACTCCCTCCATTTTTGTATACAAGGCCACAAACCCATATTACAGGTACCAAGGTAAAAATCAATGCAATGTTTAAGTCAATGTTGCAAGCTAGGTTGTCAGCTTGTTTGTCGTGTTAATTAATGAGGCTTTTCTCTACCACGCACAACAAGATAACCCTCTTACTCCTCGTTGGTTGATTAATGTTGGGAATGCAAGCCAACCTTCTCACTCCCGCATGCACGCAAATGATATTAATGTCCCCGGGTGCTAGTACGAGGCAAACACCTTTAATTTTGCCTCGATTAATGTTAGTGGCCTTGTATAGTTGCAAATTGTAATTTTGAGAGTGGCCTTGTATACAAAAATGGAGGGAGTACAAAGTTAGTACAAAGTTGGGTCATCTAATTTGGAACGGAGGGTATTAAGTGCATCATGCTATTGTTCCACTGTTCCTTATATTTCCATATCCAATTTTATGCGTACATCAGTATTGCATCCACTTAACTGAAGTTCACAGCATCATTTAACAACTAATATTTGTTTGATAAGGATGGGTAGTTATCAGATTGTTACTATTAAGTTGCATCCACTCAGGAGCCAAAGATGATACGTAATGGTGGGCAATATACTTACTACAACTCACCTCTAATCTTCCTCATACCAAGTCTTGGAATTTAGTTCAGTTAGTCATTTTGCATATCTGTTTAGTGCTTCTAACTAACACCGATTTCTTGATGTTTTTTTCTTTTTACCTCCGATTATAAGTGCACAGTAATCAAGGCAATATTATCGATAAGACGAGAACATAAGGAATAGTTATTGGCTATTTGGCTATGCATACTTTCATATGACAGAAGTTTCCTGCATTGGACGTTTTTAGCCATATTTCAGAAGGGTAATTCAGGACCAAGGTGTATACAATATTGTACTCATCATTTGGACATTATAGTACTGCATAGGCCATGATGTAAAAAACTAAAGTAATGCTAGAATCGTAGTGGTGTTTGTTGAGAAAAACAATTGTACAAGCAGTAACTACAGTCAAAATCAATGAGAATACGCATGAGATGATACATGTTTTGCAGGAAAGAATGTGGGCTGAAATTACCTCTTATCCTTTAGCAGTTTTCTTAGCTCTCTAATGAATCTCATTTTGTCCCAATTGTAAGTATCTTTCGTGAATCCATGGGGAGACACTTGGGAGATCAAGTTCATGAGAATTTTCTTTATATCCGGCTTTTGTGAGACTGATACAAAAGCCTGACAATGGAAATGCCCTTTAGCCTTGCGATACACCTCATTCGCTAGTGTCGTCTTTCCCAATCCACCAAACCCAACAATAGATAACATCCTGCAATGATGCTTGGCCGAGCTGTTTCCTACTTCGACCGTCCACTTGGCAAGATCATCTCTTGGACTGTCAATGCCCACAAGGTGTGCAGAATCAACAAAAAGAGCAGCCAACTGGGGATCCACGGTGGAATGGCAAGATGTGATGCAAGCAGTATCATCCATCTTGTAACTACTCGCTTTCAAGTTCTTGGCACGATCTTTCAGCTCATCGATTTTTTCTGCAATTTCATGCTGAGATCCAAGCGTCTTCAGCTGGCAAGCAGTCTTGCCGAAGATCTGCTTGAATCCGCCATGATGTCCGCCATTGTCGAGCTGGTGAATGAACTTATCAATGTAATCCTCTGCATCATAGGAAAACTCCCTCAGCAACGATAGCCATAACTTCACCTGGACATCTGGATCTTCTAGCATCGTGTACTTTCTCACCGCCGTATGCATTAATGTCAGCTCAGATTTGAGGGCACTGACTTCATGGAGGACACCTTCCAAGTTGCCATACTCCTCGCTGAGCAAAGCATTGAGCTTGTCCAGTAGGGGATCCAAGGTGCCATGGGAAGCGCTCACCACCGCCATCGATCTCCCGATTCCACTATTCTGCATATTATTCCGCCATTGCTCTTCTTGTGCTAACACCTCCATCAATGTCCCTATTTGTACATCCAGCACTCCGTCTGTCATTTCATCTTGTTGTTCCACGATACACTGTTCTTGCTCTTGTGTCAGCACCTCCATCGATCTCCCTATTTCTCCATCCCGCACTTCCTCTCTCACTTGTGTCTGTGTGCTTGAAGTGGAAACAACTTCAGGAAGAGGATCAAGCAATTCCTCATGAATCTCGTGTTGTCTTTCCAGAGTTAAGTGTTCCCGTTCATGTGTCAGGACCTCCATCGATCTTTCTATTAATTCATCCTGAACTCCCTCTCTTGTTTGTGTCAGCACCTCCCTTGAGCTATCTGTTCCTCCATTCTGGCTTCCATCTCTCATTTGTGTTTGTGTGCTTGGAATGGGAATAAGTTCAGGAAGAGGATCAAGTGATTCCTCTTGTATCTCATGTTCTTCTTCCAGAGTCCAGTGTTCTTGTTCTTGTGTGACGGCACTCGTATCGTCCTCACCATACAAAATCCGATCTACACATTGTACTGTGATTATAGGAGCGCATGGATGATTGGCAATGGCGCCCCTCAATGCCGACTCCGCGTACCTTTTATCAGATTCATCCGCACCAGTGCCCCCAACTTTTGCAGTTATCTCTTTAAGTTCTATCAGGTACTCTAAGCCAGCAACTATCTGGCTGTATTGCTCCATTCTATTAGCATTGAATGCTAGCTTAAGCTCCCGGACGCTAGGCATTGATCCTATCAGAAATGCCAGGCATGGGGCAGCACATGTAAACTTGAAGTATTTGAGAATTGAGAACCCCTCACTATCAAAGACGACCTTTCCTACAGGGGCAGTACAAACGTACAGCGAGAGAGCCATGAGAGCTGGCAATCCTTTGAGGATATCAATATCTTTCCTCAACAACTTCCTAACTGAAATCTTCAAAATGCAGAGATTGCCAAGTTCTTTGGTCCACTCAGGTAGGCTGGCAAAGATGCAACAGCGCCCTGACAGCTCAAGCCTCTGAAGAAGGGGCGGGGGAGAGGACACGCTGCTCAAGACATCGCCAGAAATACCCAAGATTGCACCACCAGCATCGTCTAAAACATCTGGATGAGAGGAGGCTGCACGTATTAGAGTTACATCTGCATGAGAGGAGGCTGCACGTACTAAAGTTAAAGACTTGAGGTTGCCGAGTTTCCGGAGAATTGAGCCCAGGCATTGCATATTGTTCTTCAGATTGTCAGGGTCTGCTATGTTAGACCAGGTGAGATGAAGGTCTTGGAGATTGTTCAGCTCGCCAAGGCTCTGTACATTCTCTATTGAGTTCTTGCCGAGATCAAAATAGCCCAGCGTGCGAAGTAAGGGCAAGCAACTAATATCCGATGGCATATCACTTACTGGTGCATGCAATTCCAATGTCTCCAAGAATCGTAGCTGCTGAATCTCGTCTGGCAAATGGACAGTGATGTTGCAATCAATTTTCAGATACCTCAGCTGAAACAGTTCGCTAATTCTAGTGAGGTCAAATATTTTGCTTTGATCAGCCCAGATATGAAGAATCAGAACTCGAAGCAGCTTATATTCCACAAAGGAAGGCACACAGTTCAAGAAGCCAAAAAATATAAGCGATCTAACTTGAGTCATCATAAAGTCTGCCGGTATATTAGCACATTTTGCACCACCGAACTGGACAGACAGTCGACGAACCTTGTCAGGAAGACCTGTAATTGTTTGAAAACAACTCACAATAATGATGAAATTCTCCTCCAGAGATTTGTACCTAATAAGATCTAGTACCATGTGGTGAACTGTACATGTCAACACCTCATCGTTATAATTTCTGTCAAGAGGTTGGATCATTCCTCTACTCACAAGCTCATCAAAATAATGCCATGCAATTTTCTCCCTGTCTTGCCCTTCGCCGATAAAATCTTCAGTTATCCATTGCGTCACTAATTCGTCCTTGCTGATAGTGCTTCCCTCTGGATACATAATAAGATATAGCAAGCATGTCTTCAAATATGGTGAAAGATTATCATAAATAATGTTCAGAACTTCTTTCAACCCTTCCGAACTAGGGTCTGTCCTCAATCTCAAAACAGAGGGTAAAGAATCTCGTATGTGCTTCCATTGATCAATGTTTAATTCACATGCTAACATGCTGGCTATATTTTCAGTTGCTAATGGTAAACCTCCACATTTTCGGATAATCTCATATGTAACTTCTTTGAAATCTGGAGGACAACCATTTTCAGACCCAAAAACTCTACCGAGGAATAACTGTCTTGACTGATCACCATTAAGAGGACTCATCTCATACATGTACTTAAACTGATACCTACTGCATGCCAATGCTACATCCTTGATTTCCGTGGTTACTATTATTCTGCAGCAACAATCACCATCAGGGAAAGCACGGCTAATAATATCCCATGTCGAGGAGGCCCATAAGTCATCAATTACAATCAAGTATCTGCAGAATATTTTATTCACAATAAATATGTTTGTCAAGCTGACAAAAAAGAAAGAAAGAAGTATAGCCAAAATAAAATAAATAAATTAACCACAAATTAAAAGGAAATTGGTATTATTGTTAGTAATCTTAAAGTAAGAAATACTATATCCTAAGGAAATTGGTATAGCCAAAGGAAGATCAATCAGGCAGTGAAGTAAACAATCGAAACAAGTAATTTGCTACACCGGAAAAAAAGTATTGAAAAAAAACTTATGCTCTTAAGATTACATAAGAGGCAACTTTGTCTATTCCCCTGGGCTCTAGATTGGTACATGTACATGTGTGATAAGGAATCCAAAAATAATGGTTTACTTTTCCCAATTCATCAACTTCCTGCAATCAAAATTCATGAAGAATAGAAAATTGAAAAGGTTTATTTTTCCTAAATCCAACCCAAATAGCCTCTTAAGATATACAGTAGTGCTTATTTGCTCAAACATTTATCATTGTTTTTCAACAATGCACCGTTTGTCCAGTTAAAAGACATGTACATGTACCTTTTGCATTCCAGATATTCTCTATTGTTCATATACCTTTTGCATTGCAGATATTCTCTGGCATGGTCAATAAGGTCCTGCACATATTCCTAAATGTACATATTCAACAATGCAAAAGGTACATGTACATATTCCTGATGGACCGGTGGTGAAAGCACACTTGATCGTGTACATCAGGATTGAGCATAACAACCCTGATGCACAAACTGAAATGTACATATTGTTGAAAGGTACTTATGCACATCAGGAGTATTCAGTACTAATAGAATATGTACCTTTTGCATTGCAGATATCCTCTGATATGGTCAATAAGGTCCTGCACATCAGGAAAGCCATGAACCGGCGGTGCCTTAATTTGTGAGAGCATGCTGGAAAGCATCCTCCTCATATCTGGATTTCGAGACACCCGCACGAAAGCCCGGCACTGGAATTTCCCCCCGAAGTTACGGTAGAAGGTTCTGGCAAGTGTTGTTTTGCCAACACCTGCAGATCCAAAGATAGGTACCACCTGAACTAGTTGCTCTGTATCTTCACTGTCAAAAGCCAGCAGCTCTGCAATCTCTTGGTCGTCTAAAGCCATCAGTTTGACAAGCTTATCCATGGACTCCTCAAGGCCAATAAGTCCGAGGCTCTTGGAGCGGCTGACATTGACTTGTCCAGATTCAGGTCTGATGGTTGCTGGTCCAAGCTGGAAACTTTGGCGTCTTTGACTCGCATCCTTGGCACGAGCACACAGATCTGAGAAAGCTTCTGCAACCTGGCGCCGAAGCTTCAGTTTTCTGGGGATCGAAAGAATGAGGGTGTGAAGAGCGCTTCTGCCGGCGCCGGCGGAGGAGCGCGGGACCTCGTTGAAGAAGTCCTCTGCGTCGTAGCGGAGCTCCCGCACCTCCTTCATCCAGCACCTGGCCGTGAAGCTGGGGTCGTCCGCCTCCGACACGATCTTGAGCTCGGTGAACAGTGTCTCCAGATCTTCTTCGAGGCGCCGGACCTCGCCATCGCTAACCCCGTCGGGGAGATTGTTCGTGGCAGCCCTGAATGAATGGAGCTGCCGGTGGAGGGGGCCAAGCGAAACAGTAGCAGGAAAATCCATGGCCGCCGTCCCCTGAAGCGAGAGCGACGCAGCATCCAGTTTATCCGCCGCTGCCACCGCCGCGGCCGCCGCCGCCTGAAGCCATGCGGCGATATACCGGAGCACCACCTGTAGCCAAGCACTGATAAATCGGAACATCGATCCCCGCCTGTAGCTGAAGCAAGAACAAGACAGCTGTGGTAGTCATGGGTGAGAAGCGAAGCAGCAGCAGGATAAAAAGAGGGCGGAATTACCTGCACCAAGAGATTCCGATTGAGGAGCACGAGGTGGAGCTACGCCATGGCAGCACAGGTGTGGTGAACGGGACTCATGGAAGAAGAAGAACCCAAGAGAGAAGTCAATGTTACCCCTAACCTGTCTCACGGTTCAGATTACGACCCCTAAGAGCATCTCCACCATATAAAAATTCAGAGCAGTGACTCCCTACTATACCTGGCCATGGAAAACCCGGCCCGGTCTTGCCCATGGGCCGGGCCTGGGCCTGAAATCTGAACCCAAAGGTTGGGTTGGGCCGGGCTTGGGCTTGTCATATTTGCATTTTAGGCCTAGCCTGAGGCCTGACGGGCTTTTTCTTTGAAGGGACAGGTCTGGGCATGAAATCTAGGCCCGGACCTAAGTTTTATGCTACGGGCTTTATTAGGCCCGGCCCGGTCAGCCCGGTCTTGCCCATGGGTCGGGCTTGAGCTTGGCATATTTGCGTTTTAGGGAAGAGGCCCGGCCTGAGGCCCGACGGGCTTTTCCTCTGATGGGTCGGGCCTGGGGCTGAAATCTAGGCCCAGGCCTAGGTTTTCTGCTACGGGCTTTATTAGGCCTGGCCCAATTTATGGCCAGCTATACTCCCAACTCTACCCGCCGGCACAACTTCCATACATGTCGCCCTCCCAACTCTACCCGCCGGCACAACTTCCATACATGTCGTTGCCTCATGTCCTATTTTTTTGGTTTTTTGCTTCTGCTTTTGCATCTTTTTCACTTTTAAAAAAAAGCACAAAAACTCCTAAATATGGACTTTTTGCTTCGGCTTTTGGCTTATGAATGAATATCTTTATTTTATTTTTTTGAAACAGGGGCAAAAGAATTGCCTCATCGATTAATTAAGAAGAAGAAAATTGCCCGGTTAATCCAAGGAAAATCGGGCTAAAACCGATACAATCAGATCATAATTGGGTTACTCACCAATCATGACCCCATGAGCACACGTGCAACCCGCCAACCCCTCCTAACACACAATAACTCCTCACACTTGTACACCACAATTTTGAATCCGACAAGAACATTCCAACAAAAGATAGTGGACCACGCTGAAATCACAATGACGACCCCAAACTGTGAGTATGAACCAAGGGACCGGGAATCATCCATTAAGCAGCTGCGGGCGCCTTACCTATGGCGCCACTCTTCTTGCCTTTGCACCTTAGTGGCTTCTCCATCACTATACCGGTCCGAGGGCAATCACTCGCCTTCTTGTATTTGCCCTTGAATGTCGTTCCCGTCAGGAGGCAAGCAATCGCCCTTCCAGTTCCAGGGCTAACAGTCTCCACGCTAGCGAGCAAGTCACAAAGCTCTTTTGCAAAGAGAGCATTGGAATTATCCGTCGGCGGGGGTGGACTGGGAGTAGAAGCCACATGTGAGCGCGCAGGCGAGTTCACCTCACTCAGCTCACATGTCAAGGTTGAATCATGCCCCTCGCACGTGGTTGCCTGCGTCTCCACCATCATATTCTCCACTGATAGAGGTGAATCAGAGCTCGCACATAACACTTGAAGCTCGGGCATCACCTGCAGCACTGGAGGCACAACCACGGCAATGGTCCCGCCCTCAGCGATAGACATCAAAGTGGCCAAGGCAGACGGCGATGATGAGTTGTCCATAGCTCTAGGGGAGAAACAACCATAGAGGTCCGCAACCCTATTCTCCACTGAGCCACCAACATCAACCTCACTAGGAGGATGTGGCGTAGGAGCGGATTGCAACACAGCCGGCACAAGAGAGAGCTTTTCCAGAGCAGCCTCCGCTCGCTCCAGAAAGCTCCCAACACGCACCAGGAGCTCAGCCTGGGCTGCTAGAGTGGACTGGAGCAGTACATCAGATGGGGTTGCCGACTCAGCATGAGCGGAAACGACCGATGCCCAAGACCTGCGGTGAAGCGCCTTGGAGGGGAGCTGGGATTCCATCGGGCCATCACAAGGAGCTGGAGCTCGGCAATGCTCGGTGTCGAGGCGAGACCGTGGCGGCATGGCAAGGCATGCAAGTAAGCTGAATGGATGCCAAGCATTGCGACACCCACGCGCCCAGTGGCCGTTCTCCAAACAGCGGAAGCACCTCAAGGGATCTCTGCAATCAGCCGCTTGATGACCAAGAGCAAGACATCTGCAACACCTACCAAAGAGCCAAGCCGGAATGGGACGAGGGGGCAATGCCGGAAAGCCGAAGCACATATTTAAGAGTTTTTTTTGGCCTTTTGTCAAAATGGAAAAACTAAAAAGCAGAAGTAAAAACCCAAACAAACATGGCCTCATTCCCCCTCATCTTCCCTGTTTGATGGCTCCATTGGTAACAAGAGGAGCAGAGAAAGGTCCATCTTATCAGGAACCAATCCACACACCCCTTTTCACTCGCTGTAGGCCGCCAATTTCAATAGAAATCTTCCTCAAATCAAAGGGTTAGATGGTAGGAACACTAGTGTTTCCCTTGTCAACAAATTGATGGGATTTTGCTGCGATTGGAAAAGAGGCTTTGTTTCAAGGGATAAAAGGACAAGGAGAAAACAAATAAATCATGGGATTTTATTGCAGACTTTGTTGTGACTGCAACAAAGGCCTTGTTTTAGAAGGAAAAAAAGCGGCCCCGGAAGATTGCAACAAGGCTCCGGTTGCATAGGGCCGACCGTAACACTAGCCTTGTTGCAAAGACTCCCTTAAAAAAAAGCCTTGTTGCAAAGACCCACGCTCACATGGGAGAGATCAGGCGGCTATTCGGGGCTCCATCCAACAGCGGGCGAGACGGTCAATCTTTTTACATTATCACTCGATGACACATGGCACTGCCCTTATGTTTTCTTTGGTAAGTCAATGAATGCTTACCAAATAAAATACTTTATTTACACAATCACATTCATATGGATAACGTAAATCACGGGCTAATCTATTAAAATACTATGCTCCCGTTGCCACACACAGATGATTGTGTAGTAAGAATAAAAAGCAGCAATAGAAATGACTATCTCTGTCCTAAAACCAACAATTGTAACCAAGTAATCTACATAACTTTGAAGAGATACATCGACCCAGCACAGAACAGTAGTCAGTGAAGAAGAACGTCAGGCCTTTTAGGGTGGCTCCTTGCAGCTTCCTTCCATGCATCTTTTGTTCCTTGGTCGACTGCAGAATGCAGCCTGACTTCCTTTAATCCTTCTAGGCGTCCGATTTCGATGCCAGCAAGACCATCTAAAGATTCACAGATCATATGAAGCGAAGTAAGATGTGGCAGAGCTCCGGTCGTTACAGAGTGCAGACTTTTCACGCCGACGAGCCATATGCGCCGGATGCTTGGGAAGTGCTCGTGGCGTATTTCGAGAGGCCCGATGTTGTCTTCGATCAGCTTCAGATACTTAAGTGTGTCCAGACGACTCCCAGATAGAAGAACACCTCGGCTTAGGTTAGTCGACGACAGACACAGCTCCTCGATTCTGTTCAGCTTGGTAACAAACTGAGGGAATCCGCTGAGGTTGCCGCGCAGCTTCAGCGAGGCAAGACTGCCAGGGGCTTTCAGAGAACCCAAGAATGGGTCTGAGCATTCTTGGAAGTTAATGCATAGGGAACGATGAGGCCATTCGTTCCCATCACGAATGAACATCTTGATGGCTTCCTCAAGTTGGTCCAGGTTTCTTCTATTTGCGGTGGATTCGCACCATATTTTCACCTTCCTCAGCCGCTTCATGTGCCTCATCAGCTGTGGAAATCCTTCGCTCTCTCCCGTAACAAATCCTGAAAGTGTCTCCAAGATACTTCTCTTTGACAAGTACTCTGAATTTATCTTTCCGCAGTCACCTTCGATAAGCTGAAATTTGCCATGGAGATGTTTTAATTGGGGGAGCTGGATGACTTCTATGGGCACCTTCTCTATCTTGGTTCTTCTCAGGTCCAGTGTCTCCAACCATTGCAGCTTGGCAATTTTCTTTGGAACCTCACTAATGCGCCCCCCGAGGCTCAGATATTTCAGAAACACAAGGTTGCATATGTTCTGGAGGTGCCCGTCATTCAGACCATCACATTCTTCTAAATCCAACACTCGCAGTAGGTCATACTTGGCAAAATTCAATGTAGGTCCGTGTTTAGCAGCATCCCCGGTAGGGAATACCGCCAGGGTCCGCAGACGAGATAAGCCCTTGGGCAGTTTTTCAGCACAGTAATCATGGAGAGAAAGTCGGCGAACGTAGTCCCATTCTCCGGCCGTCTCACTCTCACCACAAAGCAAGGTGATGAAATTTTGAGACATGGACTTGCGGACAATGTACTCGAGCATCATCCCAGGAGGTTGGCATCTCTTCACATTCCCACAGGTGCTCACTTCCGTGGACTGAATGATACTACGGTCGATCAGGGTCTCCAAATTCTCAATTGCGATGTCTTGGGGTGTGGTGCTCACTGCATCCCCTGGTTGTACATGTACAAGTCCTTCCGCCAGCCACCGCCTGATTAGAGGATTCCGCCTGACACGATGGCCACGCGGGAACATGCAGAAATATAGCAAGCACTGCTGGAGAACAAGGCTACATAGACTCTCGTAGCTGCTGGCGAGAACCCCATGCATTCTTCCCAATGTGTCCTCACATCTTTCTGGAGCACAAAGCTTGCGGCAGGCATCTTCACATTTACTCTTGGTCAGGTCTTCTTCACTCTTCAGAAACTTTGCTTTGCTTTCAAGGGCAAGCGGTAGGCCGCCACATTTCTCTAGGAGGGCAGATGCTTTCAACTCCGTTGCATCAGCAACTGAATACTTACCCTTGGAAAATACTTCGAAGAACAACTTTCTTGAATCATTGTCATCAAGTGTTTTCATTTTGTACACACGGCCATTGGCAGAGCTGCAGCGTCTTGCTATTTTCTTAATGGTTGTCGTCACAATAACTCTGCTGTCCACTCCGTCATCCACAGGGAATACAGATGTTATGTTGCACAATTCTTCTGTTTGCATGCCATCAATTACAATCAAATACCTACAAAACGTAAATTGAGGAAATAAAAATAGTAAGTAATATATCCCTTCTCCTCTGCAGCTAAATAGATCTTGAGACGGACTAAATAGTAAGTAATATACTAACTAAACTTACTCTCGAGACTGACCGAACAATCAGAACTAGATCTTACAAAACAGAGTTGAGTTTAAATGTTTCCACTTAGATTTCTATGTCAGAATTAATCACTTCATACATAATCCTACAAAAGATGGCCCAGAGCAACTATTCTTGTAAATTATTGGTTACATATGAAGAACTCATTTAGCTGTTGAAATTACAGTAGTATAGATTTACCAAATTAATCCATAGCACGGAGTATCTTTTATATGTGTAAGCCGTGAACCTGTATATATGTGTGTAGAGAAAATTAATCAACAAAAAAAAAAGAGATCACCTTTTATTCTTCAGGTATGATCCTAGACGTTGTTCGATGAGCGTTGTATCACATACACCTTCCAAGTGAGTGTCCTCCTGAATAGCCTTGCCCCTGTCAGCTTGCCTCTTCATCTGGACACTCTTGTTCTCATCGACTTGTGCGGCGATCTTGGTGCTTGTGGAGATACTCACATTCGCAGTAGCAGTATGTATGTCTGCAGACTCATCTTGGACAGAAGAGGCTCGCACCATGTTTGCCACGGTGAACGCCGGGGACAAGATGTACAGCAGTATCGTCGCGAGAGTCCACCAAACTGCTTGGAGGCACTGGCGCCATGTACTGCCGCCGTTGGCGACACCGGCTGAGGCACTCTCACCATTCTGGACTTCCTCAATGCCATTCTCCTCGACCTCTGGGATGACGCAGTTGGATTTGTAGGTGGTCGTGGTGGTCACAGGTGCAGAGTCAACCTGCCGGGCCCTGTCGGCGGAGGTGCCCGCACCATTCTGGAGCACTTGATCGAGCATCTCCTTCAGAAGCTCTGGCGTGCCCTTGCCCGCGGCGCAAACCCAAACCCGCAGAGGGAACAGGCGGCGCACGTCGCCGTGGTCGAACACCTGGTGGGCAAGAAGAGTCTTGCCCAGGCCATGGAAGCCGACGACGGAGATCACCCTGAGCTTCCCCTCCGACGGCCCCCCAGGTTCCCGCACGAGCTCAAGAAGCTCCCCAAGAGGCTCGTCCATCCCCACGGCCGCCGCCGGAGCACCGCACCGAGCGGCAGGGACCGGCGCCCCGCCGCCGTCTGGTATCGTCCCCTCCGCCGCCGCCTCCTCGATGTACCGCTTCAGGCGCCGGTGAATCTCCTCGGATCTGGCCTTGAGCTTGCGGATCCTGAGGGAGAACAACGTGCGCGTGAACACCGTGCTCCTGGCGGCGTGGGCGGAGCGGCGGAGGAAGCCGGCCTCGCCGTCCTCCGGCGGCATCTCCTGCCGCAGGAAGCGGTCGACGCAGTCCTCGATGTCGAAGGCGAAGAGCGTGAGGTCCTGGATCCACGCCGCCCGCAGGTGGCTCGTGTCCCTGCCGCCGCTCCTCCTGCGGTGGTCCTGGATGGCGGCCTCGATGTACCTGAGCTCCGACTGGATGGACCGGACGTCCCTGCTCCCGCCCAGCGCCGACAGGGCCTTCGGCAGCGTGGTCTTCAGCAGCGCGCAGATTATCGCCGCCTCCATTGCTCTCCCTTTCCTTGGCCGGGAATCACCGGCACGGTCAATGGCTAGCTAGCGGGGGAGTGTGGCCGGAGGAAAAGGGGATGAGAATGGGGGAGGGGAAGCCACCTCGCAACACTCAGGTCAACGAGTCAATGCTAATATTACTTCATCATGACATGTTGCTAATAGATTTTAACACAGTAACAACGCAGACGATTATTTATATAAATATACACTCATCTCTATAAATGCACACACGCACATCTTATATTTATAGACGCCTTCAAGAGACTAAGCCGGCATATCATTTTGAGATTGAAGAAGTCATCACAGGAGCATATGTAGTCGACAGTTAATATCCAACAAATAGCAGTGTAGCGCGGTGGCTCGATGCATTGTCTTCTGCCCTGTAGACCAGGGTTCGAACCCCAGCTTCTACCAATATTTTCCTCCACCTTTTTCTCATGACTTATTCCCACCTACTTTAGGCCTACATGGGCCAGCCAGCGGACTTAATGCCCTGTTTTTTTTCTTTTTTCTGGTCTTCTCTTTTCTCACTTCTGTTTTTGTTTTCTCCTTCTTTAAATCAATTTGAGATTTTCAAGTATTAAAAAGTTGCGAGTTTCAAAAAGCTGTTTGAGAAATTATAAAATGTGTGTGAATTCAAAAAAGTTCAGGAAATCATAAAATTTTCGTGGTTTCAAAAAATGTTACTGATTTTACAAAAATATTTGCAAATTATGAAAATAATTTGGAAAGAAATGTCGTTAAATAAAATCAAGTTCATGATCTTGATAAAATGATCGTGTATTCAAAACATATTTGTGAATCTGAGTCATCATGAAATCAAAAACTATTCATGCATTTCAATAAATGTTCGTCTAAAAAACAAATGTTTGTGAATTTAAAAAAATGTCTAAATTTAAAAAGAATGTTTGTCGATTCAAAAAACTCTTCCTATTCAGATGTATTTTATATCTAGGATTTGATTAATTTTGGAAATTCTTTATATGTCTTGGGGTTGGCGAGTAGTCCATGGTCGATGAGATTTGTTTTCAAAGTTTAAAACATTCCCTTGCGCGAAACAATGACAAGTGTGTCGTACAGTGACAAGCCCATTTTTTACCACGTTGAATGCATTGCGATCACGTGGATATTGCATCCATCATCAACGAGAGTGAGAAGAAAGATAATTGGCAACATGGTGAGCCATCGTGTTAAAATAGAGGACATTCATATGTCGGATATTGACCAACGTGTAATTTTTTCTTCCGTTGCAACGCACAGGCATATTTGCTAGTATATAAATATACACTCATCTCTATAAATGCACACACGCACATCCTATATTTATAGACGCCTTCAAGAGACTAAGCCGGCATATCATCTTGAGATTGAAGAAGTCATCACAGGAGCCTATGTAGTCGATAGAAACGTCTCCTCCTACTAAACAAATATCGTCAGAAAGTCTCGAATAAATACAGAAAAATGCGATCACCAGTGTCAAGTTTCAGACTTAAACCCAGATGGAATGATTCCACCACAAAGAATCTATCTATGTGATCTAGGCTCAGTTTGTCGTCATGATATTTCACAAGCATCTAAAACATTATAACATTCCCAAAGCCATAAATCATTTATGTTATTATTTTTTCTGGTGATGATCGCAAGAAGGAGTTCGAGCGATGGATTAGAGAAATAGAGCCAGTTTGGTTGATGTCCTGGACACCACGCCTAGGATATATTGTTGTCTGACATGTGCCTAAGAACTTCAAAAAATCTGCCCGGTCAGGCGAGCATAAAAAGTGCCCTGTTTTGTTCATGGCCTGGCCTGATGAGCGCTAATATGTCATTTTTTTTTCTCTTTGACACAGCGATTTATTTTCTCCCCTGACTTTCTTGAGCCATATGATTAAACAGGAAGTGGATCCTTTAATATTCTCAAGGGATGTCACGAAGCTATAGTAAAATGCGTGTGTAAAGCGAAGAAGGGATGTCATGGTTACTGTAGCAACTAATGTGCGGATTTACTGTAGCATGTACAGAAATAAATCAAAATATAATTTTATTGCACCATAATTTTGTTTGTATGTAATTTTTGTAAATGTATACAGTAGATTTGTAATTTGCAAATTAATTATAATCATTTTAGGCTTAATCATATGAATGTGAAGAAGGGATGTCACGGTTTTTTTAAGAAAGTTCAAGCTTTATTCATTAGAAATAATCATTACATCGTTTATGAGGATCGGTACAATTGCATTATGTGGTTCCTCAAACCAATCATAAATGAAAGAAAATCTAGCCAACTTGGCAAGTTCATGAGCAACTTTATTTGCTTCTCTATTATAATGCTCGAATCTAGAAATAGGAAAATCGCAAGCTAAGTGAAAACAGTCATCAAAAATTGCACCAACTGCCCCCGACGATCGTCCTCCTTCGTTCATGGTCTCGATCACCTCCATATTATCCGAGTTAATAATTATGCGATTACAACCTGTCCTTTGCGCAAGCGATAGACCAAATTTTAACGCCAAAGCTTCAGCCATCAACACATCTGCACACCAGTCAATCTTACCATTTCCCCCACCGATGAACCTACCTTTGTCATCTCTTAAGACAGCCCCGATCGTACCCCTGAGAAGGTCGTGGTCAAAAGAAGCATCAACGTTAAGTTTAACAAATCCTGTCGGGGGGTTAGACCATCCTCCTCTTTTCATGGAAGCCTTCGGCGAGGAGGCATTAACAAAATTGGCAGCGAGAGCGCGTATCCCCATGGATATCTGTTGTGCATTCTGAGTAGTCTCATTGTGTACCAATGTGCACCTTTCCCACCACAAGTACCAGGCTGATATGGCAATCATGTCACGCACATTACGAGTGCCCATAATACATAGTTCCTGATCTGGTAATGAAAGTAAATATTCCAAGATTGCCTCACCCGCATAGTCTATTTTACAATCTCTGTTGATAATATTGTTGGGTAACGTAGTAATTTCAAAAAAATTTCTATGCACACGCAAGATCATGGTGATGCATAGCAACGAGAGGGGAGAGTGTGATCTACGTACCCTTGTAGATCGACAACGGAAGCGTTTGGTTGATGTAGTCGTACGTCTCATGGCCCGACCGATCAAGCACCGAAACTACGGCACCTCCGAGTTCTAGCACACGTTCAGCTCGATGACGATCCCCGGACTCCGATCCAGCAAAGTGTCGGGGAAGAGTTCCGTCAGCACGACGGCGTGGTGATGATCTTGATGTACTACTGTCGCAGGGCTTCGCCTAAGCACCGCTACAATATTATCGAGGACTATGGTGGCAGGGGGCGCCGCACACGGCTAAGAATATGATCACGTGGATCAACTTGTGTCTCCAGGGGGTGCCCCTGCCTCCGTATATAAAGGCTCAAAGGGGGGGTGCGGCCGGCCTAGAGGTGGCGCGCCAGGAGGAGTCCTACTCCCGCCGGGAGTAGGATCCCCCCCCCAATCCTAGTTGGAATAGGATTCACGGAGGGGGGGAAAGAGGAAGGGGGGTCGGCCCCCTCTCCTTGTCCTATTCAGACCAAGGGAGGGGAGGGGCGCGCGGCCCATCTCTGGCTGCCTCTTCTCTTTTCCACTAAGGCCCACTAAGGCCCATATATCTCCCGGGGGGTTCCGGTAACCTTCCGGTACTCCGGTAAAATTCCGATTTCACCCGGAACACTTCCGATATCCAAACATAGGCTTCCAATATATCAATCTTTATGTCTCGACCATTTCGAGACTCCTCGTCATGTCCGTGATCTCATCCGGGACTCTGAACAACCTTCGGTACATCAAAACGTATAAACTCATAATATAACTGTCATCGAAACCTTAAGCATGCGGACCCTACGGGTTCGAGAACAATGTAGACATGACCGAGACACGTCTCCGGTCAATAACCAATAGCGGGACCTGAATGCCCATATTGGCTCCTACATATTCTACGAAGATCTTTATCGGTCAGACCGCATAACAACATACGTTGCTCCCTTTGTCATCGGTATGTTACTTGCCCGAGATTCGATCGTCGGTATCCAATACCTAGTTCAATCTCGTTACCGGCAAGTCTCTTTACTCGTTCCGTAATACATCATCCCGCAACTAACTCATTAGTTGCAATGCTTGCAGGCTTAAGTGATGTGCATTACCGAGAGGGCCCAGAGATACCTCTCCGACGATCGGAGTGACAAATCCTAATCTCGAAATATGTCAACCCAACATGTACCTTTGGAGACACCTGTAGAGCACCTTTATAATCACCCAGTTACGTTGTGACGTTTGGTAGCACACAAAGTGTTCCTCCGGCACACGGGAGTTACATAATCTCATAGTCATAGGAACATGTATAAGTCATGAAGAAAGCAATAGCAACATACTAAACGATCGGGTGCTAAGCTAATGGAATGGGTCATGTCAATCAGATCACTCAACTAATGATGTGATCCCTTAATCAAATGACAACTCTTTGTCCATGGTTAGGAAACATAACCATCTTTGATTAACGAGCTAGTCAAGTAGAGGCATACTAGTGACACTCTGTTTGTCTATGTATTCACACATGTATTATGTTTCCGGTTAATACAATTCTAGCATGAATAATAAACCTTTATCATGATATAAGGAAATAAATAATAACTTTATTATTGCCTCTAGGGCATATTTCCTTCAGTCTCCCACTTGCACTAGAGTCAATAATCTAGATTACATAGTAATGATTCTAACACCCATGGACCTTTTGTGCTGATCATGTTTTGCTCGTGGAAGAGGCTTAGTCAACGGGTCTGCTACATTCAGCTCCGTATGTATCTTGCAAATCTCTATGTCTCCCACCTGGACTAGATCCCGGATGGAATTGAAGCGTCTCTTGATGTGTTTGGTTCTCTTGTGAAATCTGGATTCCTTTGCCAAGGCAATTGCACCAGTATTGTCACAAAAGATTTTCATTGGACCCGATGCACTAGGTATGACACCTAGATCGGATATGAACTCCTTCAT